TTCAGACCGATGAGCTTTGTAAAAATCGACGCGTTTCAGAAAGGCGGGGCATAGAGGAGAAACAATAATGTGGAAAATAATGTGTTTTTTGAACCTTAAACCGCATAAACACATTTCATTACACCAAATACAAAATAATGTTCTTTTTAGCAACATCATATGACCCCTTTAAATCCATTACAGCATTCAAAACGTTGGGAACAAGTAGAACACTTCAACAATATTACTGTAGGCCTACTATTAATATAGAAGTCCGCTGGTTTCATTTTACAGTAAATACAGTCGATAACTGAGGTTCAAGATGATAACAGTTGCATTTGAATGAGAGAGTGTGCGCCAGCCTCAAATACCCGGATGAGCGGTATGGCATTTGCTGATGCTAATCGGGAATAACACACAATGTTGCGGCTGACCAATCAGAATCAAGTTATCCATAGAGCTGTGTAATAGCATAATCAAATAGCCTGCAGTGATGTAAAAAGAAGGGAATTTGAATAAATAAGTATATTATATTATATTATAAACAGTTTTTTCCTTTAGAATAGCATGCACCATACTAGAAATGTTAATTAAAAAAGTAAATATACCTCTTTTTATATTGATCTGATTTTTATTGATTATAATCGTCTTTTTCGATATATGTATGAAAAGCATTCTGTTACAGCATGAAGAAACCACATCCTGTGTTTCCATTAGAAGCAGTCTTGTGCTGTGCTTGCTTGAGCAACTTCTGTAGCCTCTGCATCTGTGCATCACATGTTGCTATCTGACATCTGACTTGTCCTTGTCCTTCCCCTCTACAGGTATTTCCTGACCAGTTTCTATACAAAGTATGACAGGGTCCACTTCATCATCAACACCATTTCCCTGCTCACTGTGCTTATCCCCAAACTGCCTCAGTTCCACGGGGTCCGTCTCTTTGGAATTAATAAGTACTGACGAGGCTTTGATCTTCAACACGAGGATGTGTGGCCACTTACTCTGTGGGAATAAAAAAGGGGGAAATTTAGAGCTTCATTGGATGCTCTGCTGCTTTGCGGTCAAAGTGGCCGAACAATCTGCTATGGTATCACTTTTATGTTTTTTTTGTATAACATTCAGTAGATACAAACACATTTGTAGAACCACCAGCAGAATGCAGTAAAAGAAGGTCTCTTGATATGTTAGGACCACCGTTATGCTCTGTATTGAAACAGAGTGTTGGTTAACAGCATTATGTATGCCATTGGGAACCATGTGTTAGATTTCAGTCACTTTGGCAGAAATGCTGCATTGATGCAATGAATCAGATGGGTCAAAATAGGCTGATTCTTAACTGTTTTGCGGGCCTGAGTCAGCACTTCCCAATGTTCAACACAAGGTGTTTAGAAAGAGAAAAAAGGTACTGTGTTTCTGAAGAAAGTGTACAAGGCTATTTTTAGCACAGGTGCAAAAGACTGGCTTCAGTCCCATAGTTGGACAGTGTCATCCTGTCCTGATAAAACTTTTGCCAGACCTGTATTTCATGACTTTAGATTTAAAACAAAACTAGTTAAATTTTATATATGCACAACCTGTTCAAATGTTTAAAGTGCTTTTTCCAGAGCCCTAACAGTCTCACAGAGTCTCTCGCTCTTTTATAACATGCACTAAATATTGAGTAACAAAAAAGCTAGTTGGATGCATGTAAAAACCTAGAAGAGTGGCTTCTGATGGGGAGAACAGGTGCAAGGGAATATTGGATTAGATAATTTTTCCCCTAAGAGAGAAACTGCAGTTTAACTGTACATATGACCTTTGGACCCTAATATGTCTCATTGGACTCTTGTGTACAACTCCTGCACTTCATGTCCAGGTCTGAGTGAGGATAGATTAAATGTTAATGCAGTTTACTAAGGTACAGAATATTTCTGTGAAGCATCATGAAAATGTGAATAAGATGTGTAAGTGCTTATCATTGTTTATGGCCAATCACAATGTCTGTCTCACAAAGGCAGCAACTGAAACAGATTTTTTTTAAATTTGCAAATTAAAGCAAACCTGTCTGACACAGTACAGATCTACAGATTTTAGTTTTGACCAAATATGTAGTTTGGTCTACATGCATTTTGCTTGTGAACAGCAGTATGGACTGATGACAGGCCCTGTGATATGCATTTTGCATGACAGTACTATAATGAGCATAATTTCTAATAATTAGTAATTGTCTTAATTTTTGTACCAAAAAGTTATATTGGAATGACGTATGGACTGTGACTAACCCTACAGACATATTCCTAGTACTTACAAAGCAAGATTATCAAAAGGTTATCAAAAAAAAAAATAAGACAAAAAAAATTGCCTTTATCGTTAAATACAGCATTTCATTACGGTCGTATTTAGTAGCAGTTTGTTATATCGGTGTCTCAGTTGTGCTCAGTGTGGATTTTATTTTATTGCTGCCCTCTCTTCAATGGTATGCATTACAGTCAGAACAATTGTGAAACCAGTAATCCTGCATACGTGGAGCAATGCCTTATCTAGCAGATCAGTTGACCTTGGGCTATATTTGTCCCTTATCTTAGTTTGCTTTGTCATATTCTGTGTTTTTCAACATTTTGTGACAGATGCTTGTTTATTGTTGACATGATCAGTATTTACAATGGAAAATGTATTTTGCAAATATTACAGTCGACGATGACTTCATAATTGATTTGTTGACAGGGTACCTTTCGCAGTTGTGTTTAATGCAATCGCAGATCAACATTGTGACAGGGCTGATATTATGTGAAACTCACTTTTACTGTTGAGCTCATTTGTTCATCAGCTGGGCTTCAATTCTCATCATTTGCAGATGTTTTGTCTCTCATTCGACTGGCTTCATCAGTTGTAGCTAATGGGATGTTCCCTGAAATTACAATTCGTCCCATGATGTATTAGTACATTTACACTGCTATTTAATCATGTCTGATCTTTTGTCAGTATTTTGAGTTAATACTGTCAAGCTTTGAATCTTTATATTTTGGGAACTAAGAACAAGAACTCTGGTTTGCGAATTTGTTGTGTTGTGGTAATCTGAGGTGTTGCTGTGCCATGCTGCATCTGGCCTTATCAGCTGGCAGGATGTTGATGTCAGGGTTCATGCCGAGTGATATCAAAGACTTTCTTTCTCGTATAGAGAGTTTAGTTTTCTTTTAGTTGCAGCAGACCCTCGGACAAATTGTCAGTTGTAGTACTGTTCTGCCATCTCTGTTTGACAGTTACTCCTGTTTACGTTCACACAGTGATTGTGATTGACAGCGACTCCATCGACAATTCACTAGCTGCACGGCGGGATGCTGTGCAAGGTTAAACAGCAGGGTTAATCTTATCATGTGACTGATGAAGCGTATTCATCAGTTAATGTGAAACAATGCGCAATAATGAATGAATGAACTCTACCTGACATTTTACAATGAGCCAGATGCATGAAAACAGACATTTAAAGGGACAGTTCAGCCAAAAATAGAAATTCTATCATTTATTAACCTTCATGCCATGTCAAAAGCTGATTTTCTTTCTTATGTGGAACACAAAAGGATATAAAAGTCAGTGGGGTCCAAAACAACATTGGACCCCATTAAGTTACTGTATGATCCAAAAAAAAAAATTCGTATTTTCTGATCTACATAAAAAAGCAAATCATAGAGATGAGTAAACGCTGGCAGTATTTAAATTTTTTGGACGAACTTTACTGAACTGGTCTATGGCTTCAAAATAGATCAAGCCAGGAAACTGGCATTGACTTCCTCTAGTTTAACAAATGAGAAAATGTACCTTAAAGACAGTGACGATATAAAGAAAGCACCACACCAGTATTCTAGTGTGCTACATGAGCCAGGGCCGTGCTCTTTGGGTTGTTACCAAAAGCCAACAACTTTTTAAACATTGACTGGGTGAGAGTCCATCAGAATGGGCGAGAGTGAGTCAGTGTCAGTTCTCCATTACTAGCTGCAGCCTGTGTAAGCTGTTGATCACCCTGTCAGCATGTCTCTCCCCTCAGTGAGTAGATCCATTCCAAACGTGAGGCGTTTCCTTCCTTCTACACACATTCTACAGTGGTTTACCTAGTTTTCACTAGCATAATTTCGTATGACACCCCAGATGGTATGTGTTTTATTTTTAAATAATGTAGGCTATGGTTTTGTGTTTATTGCTTTACAAATACAACCAGCCCTGAAAAGTCTGCACCTGTAGCATTTAAGGTTATACAGTGATATTTGCACGAAGGGCAATTACACTTCTGGGAATTTCTTTTATAGACAGAGAGTATTGCTTAATGCATCCTGCAATTTAATGCATCCTTTCTTGATAAACATCAAGATAAACAAAAAAAAAAAAAATTAATAAAAAAAACCTTACTGACCCCAAACTTTTGAACGGTAGCGTAGATGGAGTAAGTAACAGTTCAATTTTATGTTGGATCATGATAACTTGGATACTGAGAGCAGGCGTATTGGTAATTACAGTAGCGATGGTATTTACATATTAAACAAAAGGTTTTGTTTTGTACTGCACTGTAAGAAAAAAAAAAAAGTGAGAAAACAAAAAATGGTCCTTTCTGCCAGGACATTATCTGTTAACATCACAGTGTACCTTAAAACACAATGCATAATTTAAAATACAGGTAAAACACCTGTGAAAAAAAGAAATGCAGAAAATTCGTTCATATTAACACATTTTTACAGACCTTTCTTAGAGTGTGGTAGATGTTAAAATATGAACTGTTCAACTGAAATGCTTTTGATTATCCATTTATGTAATGTCGTTAGAAATAAAAAGTGAATTCTAAAGGAAAAGGTTTTTTTTGTGTGTCCTTTTTAGCATGCTGACATGATGTGCAGACATCTAAAATATCCGAGTTGACCACTAGGTGTCAGCGCAGTTCATGCTATAAAATGTTACATCTTTACAGTTTCATTTACTGTGAGCTATTAAATGTAGTTCGTGGTTACCATAGAGACAGAATTATATGGCCATAGTTAAAGATTTTCATAGTCTTCCTTTTTTTCTGTATCGGAGTATTTTCAGGAACAAAACAGGATATTGTCCCTGTCAACAGTCAACAGATTGTAGTCCCATCTGATCCTGTGTTGTCTTTGGTAACGTGACTTTGAAGGCCCCTGCGTCATATTCCATGGTCATCAAAAGGCGGCCTGCCAATAATTTTTTGATTAGTTATTCTAAACCTGAATGGGTTTCTTTCTTCTGTTGAGCAAGAAAGATGATACTCTGTCTGAAGAATACTATGGAAGTCAATGGCTACCATCAACTGTTTGGTTACCAACATTCTTATTTTGTGTTCAAAAGAAGCAAGAAACTCAAACTCTTTTGGAACACGAGGAGGGCGGGTGAAGACAGAATTTTAATTTTGAAGTGTGCTATCCCTTTAATATGGTGCTATTTGTACAACACCGAGTTTTACAAAATATGTCCCTGCTCCATCTCCAGGAAGGGGTCCTTGGTCTTAAAATGCTATAGACTCCTGCTATTCTCAGTTACACTTGTTTTGTATTATGTAGCGTTTGTTTCAGTCAGCAGGGGGCAGTACATGCCACAAGTTGACGCTAATCCAAAGTGTCATTTGCCACCTAAAAATAGATTTTGCCTGTGGATAAAGGCTCTTTAGTTATTTTATTTTAGCCCAGATATTCAGGAGACATAATGAGTTTTGTTTTAGCATCTTATATTCATTGCTGTTGTTATCAGTAATATTTTGTCACCTCTGTTTACTATGTAACATTTTGAAACGGTATCGAGCCTAATGCAAGTCTCTGTGGTCTTTCATTTGAAAATGCACAAAGGCTGCTTTATCTTCCGCCACCTGTAGCTTTCATTCTGTCTTTTATTCTGTCCTCAAAACCTCTATGTCCTTGAATTCTTTCATTCTTTCCATTTCTCTCTCTCTCTGTCAGATTCTACCCATCAGTTCAGTCAGCTGGATGGGAACATGGCTTAAATCTGTGCACAGGAAACCCCATGGGTTTTAAAATATTCCTCACTTTCCTCTGCAGTGCGTTGGCATTTGAAGTTGCTCCTCTTCCTACAGAAATGTGATCTCTGTGATTTAAAAGAGCTCGCTTTGAAAGAAAGCGCATGTTTATTAAAAAAAATCAGCTTTCAAAGCTCAGGATGTGAAATATAGATGCTCTGTGGTGTCTTATAGTTGTTTGTGCTTGCGTAGATGTGCTTTTTCCCTGAAACTGAACCTTGGGTAGGGGGGATTACATTTACACATATTTAAATAACCCAACAAATGAGGACTATGTGAGGTTTGTGGCCCCCAGTGTTTCAGGGCACACAGGAGACTCGGACACCACGGTCATGTCCCACGATCCAAAAAATAGAACTACTAAAGGGGAGGTTGCACTGAATTATAGATATAAATAGAGTTGCCCCTGTTTAGGTGCATTAAACATGAAGAATTGGTTCCTCCAGGATCTGCTTGATGGAGAGGACAAGCATTGCAATGGAGAGGACAAGCATTGCTATGGAGAGAGGCCTAAAAACTTGGTTTTAAAGTAGGGAAGCACTCTCAGTGGATATGTTCAGTCTTTGGCTTTGACAACCGTGTGACTCTCAAGGTGCGTTCATATTAGTATAGTATAGTATAGCGATGTATGAAGCACAGCTCACATAGAAGACACTTTCAAACCAAGCATCTTTCTGTTGGTAAACATGGTGAATTCTTATTGAAGCCTTTATCCATTATCCTGTTACTGTTTTAATTTTACAGATAAAATCCAGTGATAAAGTGCAGATTTCATTAATGTTTAAAGTTGATCACGCAAAAATGCTGTGCTGTCCAGTCCAGCAGAATGCTGTTTTGTTTTAAAGTCACTTCTGTGTGAACTGTGATTTATGCATCACTACCATTTTTTTGTACTAATTTTTTGTAAATCTTGCTAATGTAATCTGATGGGAGCAGCTCTGTACAGTGACTAAATCTAAAACCTTCAGATATAAACCATAGTTTAACTCTTCATCTCTGTTGAGTTATCAAATCTCCACATGAAAACACGCAACACATGTGCAATGCACATTGACTCTTGCCGTATTGCAAGTCGTGGCATCAGTTGTGTTACAAAATGCAGTTATCACTTTGGAAAATAACTAGTTTAACTATTTAGCACTGTAAAACAGGACTGACAACTGAATTTTGCTGCTAAATGAAATAAGCGTTAAATATTCCAGTGTCCATGATTGATATATAGCCTGTAAAATAAGCTTTGTACTACGTTTTATTGCTTTCATTTCATATTCATCATTTGTGTTTCACAGCCTGTTTTCACCTAATACAGTTGGCCTGATAACTTCTTCAAATGTAAGCACAGCTGTTTTTACACAAGTTAGACTTTTATTCGCAGCTCTGAACTGACCACATTTTACCTCAGGCTAACCACAGTGAACCTAACAAAGATGACAAAGATGAATTTGTTTAATATCTGAGGGATATCATTAATATCAGGTGTTATCACTGGCACAAATGTTGAGGTTTACTTTTAATAACTTTATATTATGAAACATTAATCATGTCACGTATGCACATTCAAAAACTATTTAATAGTGCATCTGGTTTGCAACCGAGATGTGTTTTCACAGAAACTATTACAGGATTACAGCTTATGTCCCTGCAAAAATAAGTCAATTTGAGCTCTGATTAAGTACACATTAAGGGCAAATTAGCATGTCAAATGTTTATCAGACATCTCAAATGCTTAATCAGATAGTTTTCAGACTGCTTAGAATCATAAATAATGCCACTGCCCATTAGAGCAGATAATGCAGACTCCCGCTCTAAATCTTCAGCACACACACACACACACACACACACACACACACACACACACAGACAGACACAGACTCTGTATGTTTGTCTGTGAAGCGGTGGTGTGCTTAATGTAATTTAACAAACTTTTATTTTAATTTCTGTTAATTTATTGATTTATAATAATTGTAATACATATAACAATGCTATTTAATTATTATTAAATATTACACATTCATATTTTATAAACTAATTAAGTTTATTATTTTCAATAGTACAATTCATATCCATAATATTGCTTTCTCAAGTGAAAAAGGTTGTCTCATCTGAATCGGGAGAGAAATATGCACAGATCAAGTGCTGTAATAACTGCACATAATGTAAAAACAGCACATAATGTATTACATTATTATTGTAATAAAATGTTCATAATTTTCTCAAAACGTAATAAAATCTTGAGCTCATAATGTAATAACAATTATTACATTATGAGAAATTTATTACATTATAAACTCACCAAAAATATTGTCAAAATATTCTGGGTTCCAGAATCCTGATATTGTTAGAACACATCAGAGAAAGGAGAACAAACAACTAAAATATGAATATGAATTATAAATGAGTGTAGGTATAATAAGAAGACTTGTTAAATATAATTCTATTAAACTGCTACAGTAATAGTATTATAGTTAAGAATAAGCCAAAGAAAATGTATATATATATATATATACAGGTGCATCTAAAAAAATTTGAATATCATGAAAAAGTTTTTTTTTGTAACATTTCAAAAAGTGAAACTTTCATATATTCTTGATTCATTACATGTAAAGTAAAACATTTCATAAAAAGTAAAACATTTAGAGCTTACAACTCATGAAAGTCAAAATTCCATTATCTCAAAATATTAGTATATTTACATTTTGAGTTTCATTAAGTGACCATCCCTACAGTATAAATTATGGGTATCTCTTATTCTTTGAAACCACAATAATGGGGAAGAATGCTGACTTGGCAATGGTCCAGAAGACAATCATTGAAACCCTACACAAACA